TGAGCATGCCTTTGTCCACGCCTCCAAGTGTTTGGGCGAGCTCTGATTCACAAGTTGGGCGTGTCGTGACGATGGCCTCCCACTCCCTAGGTCTGGTGATGACTGTCCAGGGCTGCATGCATGCCCAGCAGCAGATCGAGATCGACGAGGTGAAGAGGAATGGCTATCAAGGCTGGCAGGGTCATAGGCCAAGCTAAAGCCTTTCTTGTTGAGGCAGCTGAGCCTGTGACACACTGTGCTAGAATCACAAGACCCTTTTTTGGGTTAGGGATGGTCATGGATCCCTAGGCTGCAAGCCAGTTTAAATGTTCTTGTTTCAGCGTACCATGGCACACAGGCGTTTTGACTCCTCAGTTTGAGATGGCGGTGCATGTCAAGAGACTTTGTCAACTCATGTCTTTTTTCCGCCTTGTTTCCCCCCCCCCCCCCCCCCCGAGGGTACCATGGGTACCCTTTGTGGGGTGGTTTGGGACAACCGCCAAGTTCGTTGGGCCCTTTTCGGGCGCAAGCGAGGCATGTCCCCCCAGATCATGCACGTCCTGCCGCCCTCGCAGCAGATGATGATGTCCAAGGCCAGAGCTAAGCGCTTGCGATGATGTGTTGGTTTATGGATTTATGTTAGTTCTTGAAAGCCAAACAGATAATCTAGCTTGATTTATGTCTATTGATTTATGCTTATTGATTTATGTTTATTGATTTATATTGACAATCCAGCTTGTATGTAGTATTTTTGGAGGTAGTTCATGAGATTGAACTTGCGATTAGGCTGCCTGTGTGAAAATGGGTCCAGAGGGATGTTCATTTTGACGATTTGTTCTCAAAACCTTGGTTGCTTGGGCTTTATGGAAAGGAATCGTCCCTTTCAGTCAGGGGATTTTGGACCTGCGTTTCCCAGCTGAAAAGGAGCTTTTGTTTGCCATCACCAGTTCTGACCATGGCACAATTGTGGCTATTGTCAAGTGCCCAGCTGATTGTCCTGCTCCTGGTCTTTATTCCCTTCGGTTCAATGGCACCATGTGTTGCTGCTTCTGTTCCGCCTGGAGAATCCGTTGCAGTTTCTCGGATGCACGCCTGGCAGTTTGTCGAACGCGGGATGCACTCAACTTGAGCATGGGCACGAGGTGAATCATGGCGGCGGCCCTGGCGCTATTCAGCTTGGTGCTCCTCAGCCCCAGTACTCTTCTCAGATACGTGTCAAAATAAAAGAACCGCCCAAACAAAAGGTGGCCCCCCTTTTGGTTTACCTTGCAAGCAAGCCTGAAAAAGGTGCCCTCACACATCCCCACGAGTTGGTTGATGTCGTGACGGGCATTTGCACTGCCACAGAGACGGGCAAATGCGACATGCGACACGTCGCAACATGGCATCCGGCCCCAGGCACATGGGGCCGTGCGGCAGCCCAGTGCTCCGCTTGACCCATCCGGGTGGGCTTCATCGCTTCCATGCGTCCAGCGAGCGGACGACAGCGGCTCATGGGATGCCCCACTCTGGGCTCCGATTTTGGTGCTCCGATGTTGGTGGCTTTTGATTCTGGGACCGTATCGGCCTCATTCGCCACCGGTTCCACGCGAAGTGACTGCGGCAGCCCTTTCGCTGGCTTTCAGGGGGGGTTTGTCAAACGCTCCAAAAACCGAAAGCAGTCGACTGAGGCCCATGGGCAACCAGCCAGTGCCAGTGCAGGCCTTGTGCTTTCGGGTCTGTCTCAATATTTGGGAAGCCTTTCAGCATAGTTTTGTAAAGTTTTGAAGGAAAGCCCCGAGGACATCAACCGTTTTGAGGGGAGAGAAGACAACCTATGGCTGCTTTCTTTGCAGAATGCGGTCAAGTAAGGGCATGGAGGGAAGAGTTCTAAGAAAATAGAGATAGATTTCACTGTCTTGGGCCAATCTTCTGTCGAGCTTGCGTTGCTGGTAGGATAGCCTGAATCATAGCATGCTGAGCATCCCCTTGATAGGGACCCGGCAAAGGATCCAGTAGCGAAGTGTTCCTCCAAGGAGATCTGTTTCCTCCAAAGAGATCTTACTGAGGTCGTAGTGATGGCTTCCTAGGGAACCTTTTTGATGGGGCATGGGGCATGGGGACTCGGGTTTCCGTCAGAAGCGCATGTATATTCACACCTCTTCCAACTTGCGGATTGGTTCTTTCAAACCGGAGGGTCCACCTTCTCTTTCCATCGACCTGACGGCAAGCCTGGACATTTTCTTGACTTGCAAATTTTATGAATTGAGCGCCGACTGGCATGGGAAGAGATGGGATATGATCCTCAGCTTATCAATTGCAGTTGTTCTATGCTCAGATTTCGTGAATCGCCGGGCCAGTTGCTCCTCAATGTACCAGAGAAATGGATCCATACGTATACATATATATATATATGTTTCTGTTATGTATGTAATGTAAATACACATATTACATGCATTGTGTGCGCACGCAAACAAGAGATCCATGCATGTATGAGAGACTTATATCTGAAGCGTTTGGAGCGGGAGAGGGTAAAAGGTGCGTCGGCGTGGCGTGAACGGCAGGTGAGCTGCGGCAACTGCAGGCAGAGGGTCCCGATGTGTCGGCGGAATGGCGGGAAGTCCAAAAAGAAACCGGCGAAGGCGGCGAAGGCAACAGGGTTCTGGGTTGACCATTTGTTGTACCGGGTCTTGATGATGACTCACATCAGCTTGGTTGGCATTGATTGGCCAATACCAATTCAGAGCCCATAGCAAGGGGAGCCATTGGAGGGTTGTGGCTGATAGTCCTTGATGGGCCCCTGATGATCACTATTAGTCACTAAGAGTCACCATTAGGCTGCAATGGCTCCGCCTGCTATAGCTCTGACCCAGTATGTGAGATTGGCGCGTTCATCGCTCCTTGGGTAAGGATCATGTGGACGGATGTTTGAACTTGTGGTCGTTATTCTGGGAGCCTTCTCCACACTCACCTAGAGGCAAAGATCTGCTGTGGCCATGCCGAGGACATAGACAATTTCCTTCTAGGAAAGAGAGGACGTGCCTTCCATGTTGGTGGGAGGGAATCCTTTAGGCAACGCTGCGTCGCCATTTTCCAAGCCACACTTTCTGAGATCTGGCCCGGGCTGGGCAAGAGTTGCGCTTTCAACATCGCTAAAACCAAACTATGTCTGCCATTCGGCTTTGTTCGAGTGGAATCCTACCAGACGAAATGCAGCAGCAGAAGAGCAACCTTCCAGAAATCATGGTCTGCTGGAAAACTTGCAAACACCATTTCTTTTGCAAGTCCTGGTGGCTAACTTGCTTCACCTGCTTGTGGTATGTCCACGTAGTGTTTTGTTCCATCGGCAATATGGGTACAGTGCGCTGGAGTATCAAAACCGTTGTCGAACAAGGGAAGCCAGCAAAGCATGCTTCTTGCGTTGTACAGTCATCATGCGTCAACAACTAGTGTTTCCGATCGCTCTTCTTTCTCACACTGTTGCCAAGGATCCCCAAGTTCGGCATTTCAACACCGTTTTGTTTTTTCCTTCACGTTGAGGATTGTGCCTTCCCGCTTGCTCCCGTGCCTTCCCGCAGGCAAGTCTTTGGAGCACCACAGCAAGGCATGGTCGCCGCAATGCCCAGGCAGTTGAGGGAGATGCCATCAGCCTATGACCGGGGGCAAAGGTGCGACATGCCGCACCCAGGTCCAATGCCCCTTCTGTCAGACACCAAACAGCTGCTAGTCCAGGCGGGACGGCTCAAGATTCGATATGTCTCGAGCGCAAGGAGTTGCGTTGTTTCGGTTTTGCTAGGTCAATGGTATTTCTTCGCGCAAAACGCGGTCCGGTGGCTTCATCGCGCATGGTCCCATGGTCCCATCGTCGGCAGTAGCGAGTCACAGGCCAACGAGCCAGATTTGAGCGAATGTGGCTGGGTGATTTGACAACTTGGGATAGAAATGGGGATGGACGCACTGCAAAATGCCTCAAATGACCCCCCCCCTCATGGGCCTTACTTGCAGGTGTTTTCAAGATCCTTGGTACCTGACCTCTTGCCAAAATATTGTTGACCAGGGCTTGCAGAATTGCATTGATCAACCGAGCATTCCCCAGATGTAGCAGCACCAACCACCAGTCATGGTGAGATACCGCATGGCTGTGGGTCAAAAATGGGTACCCAAAATGGAACCCTGGTAAATGGAAACATGGACTAAAACCTGCTGTCCCCTGGTGGTTTAATTTTGACCAGTACCCACATCTCTAGTTCTGATGCTAACTTCAAGCGATACTCTTGGATCGAGGTCGGGCTGAGCGCTCGCAGTCTGCGCCCAATGAGTGGCGCTCGCTCACATTTTCAGCTCCGCGGCCGCGAGTGCAACTGGCCTCGCAAAAGCGAGCCTTGCTGGCGAGCGGCCGAAAAACTTTACGCATCCTGAAAAGTGCCCCAGGCTTTCCAGCGAATGACTTGTTTTCCATTTTGCCATTTCTTCTAAATACTCGGCGGCGATTCGCAAGACCTTCATTTCTACGCACGCAATCAGGCAAATGTATATAGATGAGCTGAACTTGCTGGGATGCCTCTCTTCACAAGCGACACATGCCAAAGACACCACTTTTGCTTCCGATCCAGCTGATTGAATAAGCAACGTCCGACGGTGAGATGGGAGCGGCAAGGGAGCCGAGGGATGTGGAGGGCATTGAGTTTTGCGGTGCAATAAACAGGTGTGGACGTGGATGTAGGACCTGTTCCGATTTGCACAGGCCATCAACTTTTGCAGACCTTGCCAGCCCCCTTCCAAGTTCAAACACGTGCATCTCGTGCATTGGGCCCGCTCGACTACAATCTGGATCCCGTGGTGAACCCAAGGACGTAGGGTGCGGAGTCTACCTGAATGCAGATTCCAAATCATTGGCCAGCAGCAAAATAAGCTATTATGTAGCGGAACAGGCAATTTCTTTCATGCCCAGAGTCGTAGGGACGCTGTTTGGGTGGCGAAAGCTAAATGAAGAGAACCTCCGAAAGGGCGCTGAACCTGAAGGCTGCAAGCTTTGGCCTGAGGCTCCCGGTCCAACACCCACTCCAGGCGGGGCGATCGTTTCCCATGCGTCTGGCAGTGATCTTTGGTCGGGAAGTGGCAGTGCAATGGGCCGTTTCCAGGGGGAACCACGAGGGCTGGCCCGCAACGTGCACACGGATTGATGTGATGTGATGACTGGATCGGCGAAAAAGGCCGGGGAAGGCGGAAGCGGAACGCAGGTTTTCCGAAGCTCAAGCTGCTTTTGTGGTGCCCGTCTTGCTGCGAGGCTCCCAAGCCACATCCACGCCGTGGGGCGAGATGGAGGCCTGTGTGCGTTTTTGTGTAAGGGCCTGTGACGCGCTTCAAGTAAATGAGAGACTGGGGCTTACAAGGGTAGTAGTATCCAACCAATTTGCAATGCGTCGAAGAAGAAAGTTCGCACAACACAGGTGCTGGCATGTTGTTCACATGTTGACGTGACAGCACATAACCTCCTGTGCCTACCGATCACGAGGCATTCTCTTGACGAGAACTGTTGAAAGGCCACTCTGGGTGTGTCGTTTTTAAGGGAAACCACAGGACACCGAGGTTAACGGATGCAGGTCAGAGCAGATACTCATGTTGATTTTGGGGCCAATCAAAGAACAGCTACGTCATAATGTATTCGGGGGGGAGACGGAGAGAAAAGAGAGCGACAGCAAGAGCGCGAGAAAGAGAGAGAGAGAGAGAGAGAGAGAGCGAGAACGATAGAGAGGGACAGAGAGAGAGAGGAGAGGGACAGAGAGAGAGAGAGAGAGAGAGAGAGAGAGAGCGAGAGAGAGAGAGAGAGAGAGAGAGAGAGAGAGAGAGAGAGAGAGGGGGGGGGGGGAAGGAAGGGAAAGGGAGGCACAGGGAGAGAAAGGGAGGTTCAACAGGGAAGTTGAAGGCTGAGTTTAGATAAGTGTTTGTGAACATCGGGGACCTGGCCGGACCTCTTAGGTTGCGCCTTTGGAGCCCTCGCCCAAGTCCTGCGGGAGGGCCCAGATTCGGCTTGCTGTGACCTATCCTGATTTCTGATTTCAGAACATGTGCTTGCAACCATGACTGGAGTTCAGTGATGTGGAAGCTGTCATTTGGACACATGTTGTGTCCTTGCGGTACTACTGCCTTGCACAGGATTACATACTTTGGGGCCCCATCCCAAACTCCTTTCCATTCCAGTGGGAAGGTCCCCCCCACCACTTCACCACTGCACCACCCCAAGCCCACCACCCCAGCCCACCACCCCACCCCACCCACCCCACCCCCCTACCCCCCACCCCTGCCAGCCCCAGCCCCACCACCTCGCGAGGCTCGGAGCTGGCGAGCCCCTCGGTGCTGCCGAAGGCGCTGGCAGAGCAGCGGCAGCGCGACGCCGAGGCATCCGGGGGTACTGGCCTCGCTTGGGTCGCTACCGCGGGAGTCCCACGGATCCCTTTTCATAAGGAACCGAGACCGGGCGTTGGAGGCGAACGAACCGTTTTAGATCGTTCCAGGATTTTCGAGTCCTGAAATTTGCAAGGAAGCCATAGGAGAGGTGGTAGGGTCATTTCCTTATGCCTGCTGAGAACCAGCAAGCTTTGGCCTGCATTTCATGTTGGTTCCTTTTGCTGCTAGACAAGGGGGAGGTTGCGCTCCTGATTGGGATACTGGAAGCACGATCGCGCGCTCGTCTATGTCAACTAGATAAAATGTCTCAATCTGTTCCATGCTTTTGCCGGATGGATGTGTGAGCAGTGGACGATACTGCACTTGTCTTGTGATGGTCCCCCACCTCTTTGGCAGATTGAGGCGGAGCGGCTTGTTGTGGCAATATTGTTGGGAATCTGTGTCATTCATGGTCTTAGAGCTGGTGGTATCAGTAGCCAAGGAGCAGTGGCATTGATCTTCTGGTGACCCTTTCTTAATTTCCGACTGCTGAGTGTTTCTGGGCAGGAACTGATTGCTTGGAGCTCCGTTTTGCACCACTCAGCTACAGCATTTGTGTCCTGGATTCTCTTGCTGCCAACCTGTGCACAAATTCCGTTTCTTTCGGCGCATCAATGTTTAGAAACATGCCATATCTTGCAGCGTTTGCACAACACGGACACCCCGCGAAGCTGAGCTTTGGAAGTTCGGCGCCTGGAGGCCTTCTCCCCAAGCCAAGAAGAGCCGCTGCTGAGGCAGGGCGGTGGCCAGGCTTCAGACTTCGAGCATGAGCTGCATGAGTACAAGCAAGCTGCATCATATGGAAAGCGTGTGGCAGCAGCATGTAGAACGTATGCATGCGAAACGTGAAGTTTGCCTGTTAGGGTCTTAGCGGGTTCCGTACTGTTGTCTCTGGCCCTCCAATGTCATGTCCGCTAGAGGTGTCTTACTTGCAACAGTTGCCTTAGCGCAGCTGGTGTTGGCGCTTGGTCATTGGAGAGCTAGGCCTAGCTCTGGGTGTCTCGGTCTACCTGTTGCCCACTGCATAGCTCGGACAGATTGGAACCAGCGCCAGTGCTGGCTTCGGAGACTCGGGCCCGAGCCTGAGAAATTGGAAAATACTCCACCTTCTATAAATGGCAAACAGAACTGTCAAGGTGCGGTTTTGTCTGCTTGAGCGGTCTGCTCTTAGCCAACACAAGTGCTTGGGAATGTTGAAGCTCAAGAGAGACGGAGCCCAGTTGTCTCATGTTGTCTCCATACCATGTGCAAATCACAGATGCTTAGTGATGCTTATATCCATTTCATCCGTGTCTGATCGTTTGGTGCACGGTCGAGATTGCCTTCATGGCAGCCATCCCTCGCCGCAATTGTCCTCTTCAAAAGGTGATCGCACTCGAGCGCCACCGATTTTGCTTTTCTGGCAGCGGAAGTACCCTAGTATAAATCTCTTGCAGACGTCCTCTTCGGCACCTTGCACTTTGTGATCTCTAGAGAGCAACGCAGCAAGTTCACTTGGACTGCCGTGCGTTTGCGCCCGGTTTTGTAGTGATCTCTACAGCTTTGGGCTTGAGCTCACTGCTGGAACCCAGTAGGTGTGCACACTGTACCAGCTTGTTTCCTCTGAGGAGCCGGCAAGCGCGGTCCTGAGCTCACGTCCAGCATTTTTCTTGAAGCGATGCAGGGCCCATCCAACTGGACAGGAAGATGCTGGCTCAGAGATCCAGCGGCCGCATTTGAATGGTGGATTGATGTTTAGAGCCAACCTGCGCTTTCTCAAGGATATTTGGGGCGACATGTTCCCAATGCTTCTGCCGGCATCTTCCGAGTCGTACGCGCAAAAGTTGATGGATAGCCCAGCCATCAGTGCTTCGAGGTGTTCCTGGCCCGGCGTTGGCCATCTCCTGGGCTGAAATTGAGGTGCCGCGGAGCCACGCTCCCCGCACAAAACGTCGTGTGAAGGAGAAATGGAATGACCCTGCCAAAAACCATCCAACTGGTGGTTTCCTTTCAGGGACAGCCTGGGCGAATTCCCACATTCCCTACGCAAGCAAATGGGGCTTCCTTTTGGTTTCTCCGATGAAGCAACCCCAAAACAGCGCTGCTTAGGCCACCCTATCAAAACACAACCTCATGTCAAGTCAACTTTTGTCATCAGCGGGGTTAGGTTGCGAAATTTGAATAAGGATGATCAGCCCTTTTGCCCCAGTCGGCTCAAATGTTCTATGTGGTATTGTCATGAGTTTGCAAGTGATTGGCACGGCCGCTGCAGCGGTGTGTGCCGTGTGCAGTGCTGCCCCAAGAAGACCTTTCCTTTTGAAGCTGTGCGGTGGGGGATGGGTGCATCGCATGGAGTGGTGCGCAGGCTGCCGCGCTGGAACCGACGCCCAAGTGTGAGCATCCCAGCCATGGTGCCGGAGTGAGTTGCCCCTGTGCCAAAGCCCAACCACAAGAGATAGAGAAGATGGCTTCTTTCGAGGGCCCAGGGCACATGGGTCTCATGAAAACAGTCCTAGGTCAAACCAGATTGTCTTCTGTTGTCAAGTAATGTAGTGAAGTAGAGCCCAACTGGAACTTGTAAATCTACCTGCCGTAGCGCGCAGATGGAAAGGATCAGTTTGCGAGAGTGCGAGCTTTGCCTTGCCGTCAAGGCTCTGATGTAGCAAGCCCATCTGCACGATCCTCGCCGCTGGAAGAGCCAGTCGCACAAGCAGAGCCCGTTGCAGTGGCTTGGCTGCTAATTCCAGTTTTAGGCAGTGTTGCCAAGCATGCGAACTGCCGCGAACCAACTGCATGACCAATTTGTGTTCACTGATTGCATGAGATAAGAGATTGTTGCCAAGCTGTAGTTTTTTTGAAGGCAACCACCAAGAAAACAACATCTAACTGGTCTCCCTGCTCAATACCTATTCTGTACTCTGTTATTCCTGGAGCCGTCGAGCCCCTAGGTTGTCGCCTGCCAAGTGGAAGCCTTAGTCAAAGCGGCGCTGCTTGCGTTGCAGCAGAGAGTAGGGCCAGAGACTTCGTGCATGCTTACTCCCTTGCCAAAAACCGAAGTCGTTGTGTGCCTTGGCAATAGCCCTTTACCGCGAATGCTTGTGCTGCGCAGCCCGGAGCGTGTCAAGGCCCCAGCGCGCGATGATGCTCCAAGGCGGGGAATGGCCCGTGCTTAGCCTCGAGAGCCGAAGGATGTGAGTTTGGTTTTCTCGCTTGCGATGGCCACAGATCTGAGCAAGTTGCAGTGCACTTAGTGCAACAATACACAGCAATGGGGGTGGGGGGTTGTTGGGTTGGGGGGTGGGTGGGGTGAGGGGTGGGAGGGTGAGGGGTTGGTGGGGGGTGCCGTGCCGGGGCTCAATATGATTCCATTTGCCTCTCTCATCATGCCTTTGCCGAAGGATACTGCGGATTCCCCACACATTTGCAAGCAAGACGCCCGCAAACTGTGCCAAATCACGGGGGATACTTTTGCTTCCTAGTTGCTTGACATTTAGGGCTTCCATCATGTCAGGATGTAGACGGTTGTGAAATGCATTCTCCATTATTCGTGTCCTTGCTGATTGGCAGGCAGCAAGAAGTGAGATCGGCACGCAGCCTCAGAGATGATGTGTCTCAGGCAGAAGAGGAGAGCAACCAAGAAGAAGAGGGGTTCATGTTGCCTCGGTGTAATATGTAATATGCCTTTCCTCCTTCCTTCCTTCCTTCCTTCCTTCCTTTCTTCCTTCTTTCCATGTGTTCCTTCCATTGTTTCCTTCCATTTCTTCCTTCCATGTCTTCCTTTCATTCATTGATCCATTCAATCAATTCACTTCAACTTAGAATCAATTCAACTCATTTCAAAGTTAGTCAATTTGTTCCTTCATTCCTTGACTTTTTGGTTCCTTCATTCCTTCACTCCTTCACTCGCTCGCTCACTCACTCACTCTCTCTCTCTCTCTCTGTCTCGCTCTCGCTCCACTCCACTCCACTCCACTCCCCTGCACCCCACCCCACCCCACCCCACCCCACTGCATTCCACTCCACTCCACTCCACTCCACTTCACTTCACTTCACTTCACGCCTCTCCTCTCCACTCCACTCCACTCCACTCCACTCCACTCCACTCCACTCCACTCCACTCCACTCCACTCCACTCCACTCCACTCCACTCCACTCCACTCCACTCCACTCCACTCCACTCCACTCATTCACTTACTTACTTACTTACTTATCCATTTACTTACTTATTCAGACTTATTCATTCATCCACCCATTCAGTCATTCAGTGATTCGCTCGTTTGTTCGTGCCTTCAATCATTCAAACATTCATTAGTGCATTCATTCATGCATTCATTCATCCATTTGTTTGTTCATTCATTCATTCACTCATTCATTCATTCGTTCGTTCGTTCGTTTGTTCGTTCGTTCGTTCGTTCGTTCGTTTGTGCATGCATGCATGCATGCATGCATGCATGCATGCATGCATGCATGCATGCATGCATGCCTTCCTTCCTTCCTTCCTTCCTTCCTTCGTTCGTTCGTTTGTTTGTTTGTTTGTTTGTTCGTTCGTTCGTTCGTTGGTTCGTTTGTTCATTCATTCGCAAGGGCATTCTTCTTTGCACTCCTAGCTTGTCGTTCATGCTCCATCACGTGCCTGTCAGCGTCATGCTATAGGCAATTAGTGTTGTTAGACTGTTCCAAACCTGTGCTGACAAATCAAGAACATGCTGTGTATGTTGCTGTGTGTGTGTGCTTTGAGGGTACCCTGTTCAGGTTGCTTCAAGGAGACCACAAGCAAAACCACCATTTGGATCCTTGTTGGGGGTCCCAAATGCAGCACATCTCAGGGTCAGCCAGTGCCGTACTGGGAGCCCATGTCGAGGACGAGGCGGACGGTGGCATGGCCTAAAAAATCCTAAGAAAAATAGCCGACTGCACAGGTATAAATGCGCCATGCAATGGCAGAGAGGAAACCTTAAGGATTGGCTTGCACAAATGCTTGCAGCAGCTTGGCTCGCTTGCATGCAACATGCGGCAGAGCCCTTTCACAAGTTTGGGCGTTTGGATGGCAGAAAGCCGGAGTGCAGAGCGACTCTTGGCCGCCTGCAGTGAAGTTCCTCCTCCTTAGTAAACTTAACAGCGTTGGTCTCCACTTCTACTGGATTGTAGCCTAGCATAGGCCTTTCACAAAAGCATGGGCTGCTTGCCAAAGCAACAAGAGGAGAGCACATAAACACACGCCTAGTCCAATGATTAGTTATGACAGAGGTAGCACTTGGGTATGGGCCTGGGTCACAATTAAACCACCAGGGGACCACAGGAAATTGGTGCTTGGTTCCATTTACCAGGGTTCCATTTGGGTACCTATTTTTGACCCACAACCACTTGTTGTCGCTGTGCTTAAACGTCGCAGGGCGTTCAACCAGTGCGCAGAGGTGTCAGGACCCGAAGGCAGAAGGCGGCTCAGATGAACCTCTGAACCGGAGAACATCACGATATGGCTGTGGGTCAAAACCCATGGGATCCCATTTTGGTTGGTAGTTGCACCACCCATCTAGAACCTATTTTAGTGGGGATTGGGATGTTCACTGGGGGTGCGGGCTTTTGACCATATGAATGCGTTTGCTGGTTACATGCCATTTGCCCCCGGTTTCCTTGTCTTCGCTGATGTGGAGAACGAGTTATTGCTGGGTTGGACAACTCCCTGTAGTTGTGGAGAAAGGCCTAAGCTGGCTTCACATTTTGCAATGACACGGTGTGATGCTATAATGGTTTTTGGGTCAACTTTATTGCGTGGTTTGCTGGTTGGGCTGGGGTTAAAGGCAAGAATCACTGGTTGAGGTTCCATTTTCCATCACTCGAGCATCACCATATTGTGCCCTCTTAGCTGTCATGTGTTTTTTTGGGTCTAAACCAATTGAGTCGTTGCAGCGCCGGCCCTTCACAGGTCACCTTCGCCCTATGGTGCCTACCTCAGGGGAGGTGTTTCTTGGGTGTGCAACCATCAAGCATATTTGCAAGCGAATCCCAAAACCTCAAGAGCAGCTGTAGGCATGCAAGTAGTAGGCCCCCATACCACCCAAAACACCACTACACAATTCAAGTAGAAATGCTTATCAAGCCCAAAGACCCACGAAGTGGTGCTTGGAGCCACAGTAAGCGTGACTCACAAGAACCTCGTTGTGTGGCAGAATTGCACTGAACTTGGCCCGGTCTGTGCGAGGGCCTGTGGAAGCGAGCGACAGAAGCATCGGAAGCCTTCGGGCATGGAACTTGCGGGGTTGCCTCAGGTGCCGGTGGGTCGCCAGTGGTTTCGGCCTGAGAATCAGCGCGCTTTCGCCAGGCCGCATGGCATTTGTGAAGTGTCAAAGAGCGGAAGGAAGGGAGCCAAGTTCACACACACACACACACCCATACCCATACCCACACCCACTCCCACACCCACCCACCCACCCACTCACCCACCCACCCACCCACCCACCCACCCACCCACCCACCCACCCACCCACCCACCCACCCACCCACCCATCCACCCACCCACCCACCCACCCACCCACCCACCCACTCACCCACAGACACAGACACAGACACAACGGTGCCAAGCCTGGCTCAGGTCCACGTGCCAGTGCTGGTGCCGGTTCTGCAGCAGGTGCCGGTGACGCAGCAGGGCACGCCCGTCGTGCCGGGCACGCCGGTCATTCAGCAAACCACGCCGGTGCAGGTTCAGGCGCAGAGCGAGATTTGGGTATGGGTCAAAATGCAACCACCAGGAATTGGACCGCAGGTTTTAGTCCTTGGTGCCATTTACCAGGGTTCCGTTTTGGGTACCCATTTTTGACCCACAGCCATTTGGCCTTCAAGCTTGTTGCTGCTTGTCGGCCATGGTGCCAGCATTCGGGGGTCCCGACATTCCTTGTTGCCTGTGCTGGCGTACTAGCCTGCTGAAGCTGCACAAGACATCACTGCGGCACCTTGTGATCGAGTCCCCTCAAGATTTTGCAGGAAGAGCAAAGACAGAGAAATAACAATACTTGACCGAGTCTGATCCTGAGATGTCCTTCAGTGCCAATATCCTGTTGGCATTGTGCTTGGGCAGTGTATCACTTGCTGGGATTTTCGGAGCAACTATTACTTGCTGGCATTTTCGGAGCAACCCTGAACTCTGAACATGTTTTTGCAGGGTTTCCTATGTTTCCCTTTTCGGCGGTTTGGCGGGTGCTGGTGTTTTCTTTGGGGATCCGGGAGTCGGATCATCGCAGGTGCCCTTGGTCCGGCATTCGGATGGTCGGATGCGGTCTCCTGGGGGCTCACCCTTGTGCGGGGCCTGGCTGCTCTTTACCCAATTTAGCCACCAGATGAAACCCGGGTAGATGAAGGTTAGCTAGGGATAGTCCCAACACTATTACTGGGTGCAGCCATACGTTGGTAGCTCTTTACATACGTAGGTTTTGAGTAGACCACTTGAATACCAGGTTCTGATCATGACTCAAACGGCCATTAATTTCAATGAAGTGGTTGGTGGACATAGGCGTCAGAAATGCAAGGTTGCGATGGTTCCTTCTTCCACCCAAAAGATCGTTGTGAGCTTGTAGTTGGGCAGGATTTATTCCTCCTTTTCTGTGTTGTCACAGCCACTTTGCTTCAGTGTAGAGTCGTTCAAACAAGAGGGGCGTATTTGGGAAATTTGTGCGCATTTTTTCAGTGCCCAAGGGGCTGGTTTGAGACACCGATGGTCCAAAACACCCATGCCCAAACAGCGGTCCAAAACACCTGTGGCCCCAAACGGTGGTCCCAAACACAATCCCAAACAGCCGGTCCAAAACTCCCATGGTCCCAAACAACTGGTCCCAACACCCCACACCCATGGTCCCAAACGGTGGTCCCAAACACCCATAGTCCCAAACGGTGGTCCCAGCCAACTGGTCCCCAACACCCGGTCCCAAATCCTAAACACGGTGGTCCCAAACAGCTGGTCCCCCCATGGTCCCAAACAGCTGGTCCCAGACACCCATGGTCCCAAACGCCCGGCCCCAAACAGTGGGTCCCAAACACGCATAAAAAGGTGGTCCCAAACAGTGTTCCCAAACACCCGCATGCCAAATTGTGGGTCCCAAACACCCATGGTCCCAAACGATGGTCCCAAACGGTGGTCCCAAACATGCATGGTCCCAAACGATGGTCCCAAACGCTATGGTCCCACACAGTGGTCCCAAACACCCATGGTCCCAAACAGCTGGTCCACACAGCTGGTCCCAAACGCATGGTCCCAAATTGTGGGTCCCAAACACCCATGGTCCCAAACAGTGGTCCCGGACACCCATGGTCCCAAACAACCATTGCAAACCCAAACTGCTCATCCCAAACATCCATGGTCCCAAGCCCATGGTCCCAAACACCCGGTCCAAACAGCTGGTGGTCCCAGACACCCATGGTCCCAAACGCCCGGCCCCAAACGGTGGGTCCCAAACACCCAACGATGGTCCCAAACGCCCATGGCCCAAACGCTGGGTCCAATGGTCCCAAACGGTGGTCCCAAACACCATGGTCCCAAACCATGGTCCCAAACCATGGTCCCAAACCATGGTCCCAAGCCATGGTCCCAAACACCCATGGTCCCAAATGCCCATGGCCCTAAACTGGGTCCCAAACACCCATGGTCCCAAACAGCTGGTCCCAAACACCCATGGTCCCAAACAGCTGGTCCCAAACACCCACCCAAATTGTTGGTCCCAAGACGCTGGTTGTCAAACGGTGGCAAACACTTGCGTGTGGTCCCAAACCGCCAAACGCCTCACCCATGGTCCCAAACAGCTGGCCCAAACACCTATGACTCCGGCCCCAAACACCCATCATTCCAAATCCCATGGTTCTAAACGGTGGTCCCAAACAGCTGTTGTGGGTCCCAAACACGCACAGTCCCAAACGGTGGTCCCAAACGCCCGTGGGCATGCCTTTTTAAGGTGCGCAGCCTTTTGTAAAGGGTGGAAGTGCGACTTGTCCGAACCATACCCTCGAACCATACCCCGAACCACACCTCCGAACCATACCCCGAATCATACCCCTCTTCGTACTACTACTGCTGCTGCTACTACTACTACTGCTACTCCTACTACCACTACTACTACTACTACTACTACTACTACAACTGCTACTTCTACTTCTACTCCTTCTACTACTTCTACTACAGCTCCTGCTACTACCACTACTACTACTACTACTACCACTACTACTACTACTACTACTACTACTACTACTGCTGCTGCTGCTACTACTACTACGATTGCTACTCCTGCTCCTACTTTTACTACTACTACTACTACTACTACTGCTACTGCTACTGCTACTGCTGCTGCTACTCCTACTCCTGCCACTCCCACTACTACTACTACTACTACTACTACCACTGCTACTTCTGCTACTACTACTACTGCTTTTTATACTGCTACCACTACTTCTACGGCTCCTACTAGGACTACTACTACTACTACTACTACTACTACTATTACTATTTCTACTACAACTACTAGTACTACTACTACTACGACTACCATTACAACAACAACTACTACTACTACTACTACTGCTACTGTTACTACTGTTACTACTACTACTACTACTACTACTACTACTACTACTATTATGGTAGAACAGCCTGAAACACCTAATCAACGCCACGACACAGAAACGTGTTGCCTTTCTACACTAAACGTGCCCTCATGAATGCGTGCAGCAATAAATGGCTTGACCGCTTTGTGCGCAGCACAGCAACCAAACACAAGCAAGCAAGCGAGACAATTACCTTCAGCACCGGAAGGAAAGAAAGTGCTTTTCCGGGGAAACACGGGTGTTTGCGGTGTTTTCTTGTCGTTTTCGTCCTCGGGCCTCACCCCATTTGCCGCTCACCCCATTAATTTCGCTTTAAGCTGTGTGAAGCACGAACAGAAAACGACTCGAAACAGGAATGCAACTTGTCGATTTGTGGTCATTGGCTTACTCCGTAGCTGTTTTTTGTCAAATAGCCAAAGCATGTGGCCCTCAAGAACAACAAGAAGAGCACATATTTGTTCATCCTACCAGTACCAGTCTGTTTGCGCTAGCCAGGATTTCAACTGACATGCCAAGACCAGCATGCTGCAAGACTTGCCTTTGAACAATTTGCATGTGAACACAGGTGTCAGGACGCCTGGTCGTCGAATCGCGGAAAAGTCTGGCAGTTTGAGAACTTGTGGCAATCGCCCCATGGACCTGCGATGGCAGCCCTTGCCCGCGCGATCTGTGCCTCGCCCATGTCCTTCCCGCCATCCGTGCCCGGCAAAAGCGCGGCGGACGCGGGCAACAGCTCTGTGGGGAGGAGACCCAGCCGCGCATGACCCGTTCAGGGATCCATTTTTAGATACGTGGGTCAAAACCAATGGTACCATTTTCGGGTAGGTGCGCCCACACATTGGGATGTTGACTGGGGGTACGGGATTTTGACCCCATATTTGGCCCCAGAAACTTGGTGATTCTGACAGACTCACAGGTCAGAAAGGGAAGCAACAACAGATTGGAGGTTGGCAGAACAGGTTCCCTCTGGCGCGGGACCGATCCTGAGCAGGTTCTAGTCAACGGGTTCGATCGCTTGCACCAAAGGACCATAATGTGTTTTTTGTATCCGAAAGGAAGCCAATTTGCTAGAACCCATTTGTGTGTGTGTGTGTGTGTCAGGGTGACCCTTTGTGGGGTTGTTGAAAGGGACGCCACAAGGAAGCACACCATGTGTGGGTCCACACAAACACACCCCACACACACACCATGTTGGGGTCTCCTCGCTTCGGGATGGCAGGACTTCAGCCCTGGCACTTTCTGCTTTTTCCCGCCCGCCGCGCGTGCCGGGCATGCCGGCCACGCCAGCCACGCCAGCTGCGATGCCCGGCAGCGGTGGGAGAATATGGCAGTAGTGTCCAAGCCCTCAACACGTAAACTAACCATATGTAAAGCATTATTTGAGTCACAAGGCCCTTCTTTTTCCACAGCTCTCGCACTTCTCTTTGCTTGGGTCGGTTTGTGGTCAGTAAATGAGGACTCTGAAAGCGTTCATAGTGTGTGGGGATTCCTTTTGCGTTTTTGTTTAGATGTCAAGAGGACCCCGAAGCCGGTTCCGATCTCGAGAAGCCACGTCCGCTGAGGGTCGCAACCGTGGCGCTGGTGGGGAGCGGAAAGCCCTGAGGCCCGAACTTTGGAAAAGATCAAACGAGGTTAGGTCGGTGGAAAGTGCTGCGATCGGTCGAAGCCAAAGTCCAAGTTGCACAATATGCATTATATAATATACATACATACATACATACATGCATGCATACATACATACATGCATACATGCATGCATGCATGCATACATGCATGCATACATACATACATACATGCATGCATACATGCATGCATACATACATGCATGCATGCATGCATGCATACACACATGCATGCATACATACATACATACATACATACATGCATGCATGCATGCATGCATGCATGCATGCATGCTGCATGCATGTATTGATGTGTGTATGCATGCATGCATGCATGCATGCATGTATGTATGTATGTATGTATGCATGTATGCATGCATGCATGCATGCATGCATGCATACACACATCAATACATGCATGCATGCATGCATGCATGCATACACACATCAATACATGCATGCAGCATGCATGCATGCATGCATACACACATACACACATACACACATACACACATACACACATACACACATACACACATACACACGTACACACACACACACACATACATACATACATACATACATACATACATACATACATACATACATACATACATACATACATACATACATACATACATACATACATACATACATACATACATACATACATACATACACATGCCCAAGAGGCAGTCAACCAGAGATACCAGTTTTCAAGTTCGTGCGTTGCGTTGTTTGAATGACGTTTCTCCAGTGTCGATCAACAGCTGGCCTGGGATTGGACACCGTAGGCCAGTTTTTCCACAACTCCGCCAGAGCTTGACACAGCCTGTATAGCGCTACATCACTGTTGACTCAGACATTTGCGCTAGGAGTGGCCAGATTTGTTGAACAGCCTGCTGGCAGAGGCCAAAGTGCTGCTGAAGGACGTCTGCAAGCAAAACGCCTCTCTGACAGACCACCTGAAATAAAGGGCTGAAATGTATTGGAGTCCGCGCTTGGAAAGCAATGGTTGAGCAGCCTTAAAACGCACTGAGAAAAGCGTACTCTGAAAGCACACCCTTCTCAAATTGAGGGCGAGCCC